GTAGATATAGATATTGATTGTGGGTTATCCAAATAATTCAAATTCAAATTTACATGGATAGTTTAATTGTTCATGGGTCATGCCACATGGGCGCCCAAATCCGGGTCCAATACCCAGCCCAATTTCCAACATCTCCCACTTGCACATGAGTTAGCATGACATTGCCATATCTCTATCTCAATCTCTCAAAATATTGAACAATCTCATACTAGCCAATGAACCGTGTGACCGCTGAGAACACCTGTATGTGGGAGCTATATACTAGAAACTCAATATGAGCCAGCATAGAGACATCAACCCAAAAAGAATAGAAATTGTGTCTCATATACCCAGACCCATTTAGTTACATCAGTCCAGAACATCTCTAATCCCTCAAAGAGCATGTTGGACCCTCCTAGGTCCCGCATTGTATTCATACCCAATCAGCATCCCATACAGAGCGATGTGAGTTGTCAACAGTGAATATAGAGCAGAGACGTAAAACTAGATGATCTTCCCTTTACCCTCATATCATTTAACTTGGAATTGACCGCTTTCCCAGTAATGTCCCTTAAAGCCGAAACATACGTGACCGCAGACAACATACCAAAGTAGTCGAACATTAACTCCTTATCTTATGACATAGTCAAAGGTCACAAATGGCATAAAGTGAAGTCATTGGTAAAATGACTTTTAGGACTTACATGGTGAGGAAGCAGGAATCCATTCTCTCACCTCGCTAACGGATCGATAAGCATATGCAGTACGAATGCATGCTATAGTGGAATAACTCTTCCAAAGAGTGATGTTAAACTCACACACTATACAGATCTTAGTCCAGTCGCTCTTAAGCACATAAGTCGTTTTCTAGCGTCTAACTCAAATTCTCTAGTTGCTTGCCTCTCGCATTTGGCTATCCATAACAGGCACATCATGGAAAAGTGGGTATTCTCATATCCATGGTAGGACTTTAACAAGACCTCATCTTGGCTCCAACCAAGGCAACATAGCTAGTGGATAATTTTAGCCTCACTCTTGGCTCCAAATACAATAAGCCACTAGTCTCATCCTTGCTCGCTACCTAGAGCTAAGGGCGATTACTCGTGTGAGTGAGCCAATCTTGCCTGCTAACATCAAATTTATTTATTCTGTGTGTGCTAATTCACAAACCATTGCAAAAAATAGTAAACATAAATGTGTAATAGAAAAAATATGAATACTAATGGCATAAATATCCCCCCAAAAATAAGAGTTCAACTGAATACACATATATCACCACCTACGTAGTCCTAAAGCCCTAACATGAGTAAGATAAACATCTTTAGCAATGGGTTTAGTCAAAGGGTCTGCAATCATGCGACTCGTAGAGATGTGCTCCAAGATCACTTCTTTTTGCGCCACAATGTCTCTGATAAAGTTGAACTCACATCAATGTGTTTTGTTCTCCCATGGTACTTAGGATCCTTAGCGTAAATGAGTGCAGCCATGTTGTCATAATAGATAGTCATAGGGTCTGAAGTGTGTGTGATAATATCCAAATGCTGAAGGAATCTCCTTAACCAAATGGCTTCCTGAACGGTAGATGAACAAGCCACAAACTCAGCCTCCATTGTCGATAAGGCGATACAAGATGGCTTCTTACTGCTTCAAGAAATAGCACCATCGCTAAGCATGAAAGCATATCTTGAAGTAGACTTACGCTCATCTAAGTCTCCTCCCCAGTTAGTATCATAATAGCCAACTAGATGTAGATCAAAACTTTGGTAGCAAAGTGTGTAGTTTGTAGTCCCTCTAAGATATCGTAATATCCTCTTAACTGCTTTCCAATGAGTTGGTCCTAGGTTGGATTGGTAACGACTCACCAATCTGACTGCAGAACAAATGTCAGGGCGTGTACACATCATAGCATACATCAAGCTCCCAATAACATTCGCGTAGGGTACACGGGCCATCTTTTCTTTCTCTTTTGGAGTCTTAGGACCCATATCAAGGCTTAGGCTCTCGCCTCTCGCAACAGGAGTGTCAAAGGGTTTGCAGCTCTGCATTTGGAATCGCTCTAGAATAGTCTTAATGTAAGTCTCTTGAGATAAACCGAGAAGTCTCCTAGAGCGATCCCTAAGGATCTTAACACCGAACACATAGCTCGCCTCACCCATGTCTTTCGTCTCAAATATAGAGAACAACTACTTTTTAGTGGCGACAATTAATTTCTTGTCATTTTCAGCCAATAATATGTCATCCACATATAATGACAATATCAGAAAAATGTCCTTGGACCGCTTAACGTACACACAGTGATCTTCATTGATCATCGTAAACCCATTAGAAACAATGGCTCGATAAAATCTCAGATTCCACTGTCTGGATGATTGCTTTAAGCCATAAACAGATTGTTGAAGCTTGCAAACTTTGTGCTCCTGACCTACTGCCACAAAGCCTTCTAGTTGATCCATATAAATCTTTTCATCCAATTCTCTTTTGAGAAATGCAGTCTTAACGTCCATCTGATATAGCTCTAAGTCCAACTGAGCTATTATGGCCATAATTAGGCGAATAGAGGCCAACCCCACAACTGGTGAAAATGTTTCCTCATAGTCCACACCCTCTAATTGGGTGTAGCCTTTCGCCACTAGGCGAGCCTTATACCTTTCTATGGAACCATCCGCCTTGGGCTTGATTTGGAGAACCCATTTGTTCCCAATAGTCTTGCGCCCTGGCAGCAAATCAACCAAGTCCTAGACATGGTTTTTCTTCATAAACTCTTTCTTCATCCATTGCAGCACTCTATTCTTTACTAGTAGGGGGTGAGAGAACACTACAAGAAAACTGGACTTAAGAGACGGAACTTTTTGCGACAGTGCATTTGCCGTCGCAAAAAAATGTGACTTTTTGAGACGGCACAACTTGCCGTCGCAAAAAATGTGACTTTTTGAGACGGCATAACTTACCGTCGCAAAAAATGTGACTTTTTGAGACGGCACAACTTGCTGTCGCAAAAAATAGAGTATTTGCGAAGCATAAAATGCTGTCGCAAAAAAAAAAAAAAGAGTATTTGCAACGGTACAAGCTGCAGTCGCAAAAAAAAATAAATTTTTGCGACTGTAATAGGTACCGTTGCAAAAAAAAAAAATATATATATATATATTGTGACTTTGAGATGGCTTCATATATATATAGTCACAAAATGGTTTAAATAAATGCAACGGTATTTTTCTATCACAAAAAAAAATTAAAAAAAAACGATATCGTCTTACTCTTTTGAACATTTATCTTTTCACCCATTTTTTCATCTTCCTATCTCTCTGTCTCCGTCTCTCTTCTCTTTCTCTCTCTTACTCATCACTCTTCTCTGTCTGTCTGTCTCTCCCTTTCTCTATGTGTCTTTATCTCTCTTCTTTCTCTCTCACTCATCACTCTTCTCTGTTTGTCTGTCTCTCTCTTTCTCTGTGTGTCTCTGTCTCTATTCTCTTTCTCTCTCTCACTCATCACTCTTCTCTGTCTGTCTATTTGTCTCTCTCTCTCTCTCTCTTTTTCTCTATGTCTCTCGTCCATCTCTCTTCTCTCTATCTCTTTCATTTATCTTCTCTCTCTGTCTCTTTTCTCTCTTTCTTATTTTTTTTCTCTCTCGCTCTCTTGCTCATCTCTTTCTGTCTCTCTCTCGTTTATCTATTTTCGTTCTTTTTTTTTTCTCTCTCTCTGTGTCTCTCTCTCTCTGTCTATATCTTTTCACCCATTTTTTCATCTTTCTCTCTCACTTTTCTTCCTTTCTCTCACTCATCACTCTTCTCTCTCTGTCTGTCTATTAGTCTCTCTCTCTCTCTCTCTCTCTCCCTCCTTGTGTCTCTCATTCATCTATCTCTTCTCTTATCCCTTTTCTCTCTTTTGTCTCTTTCGCTCATCTCTCTTCTCTCTATCTCTCTCACCCATCTCTCTTCTCTTTATCTCTCTCACCTCTCTCTCGCTCATCTCTCTTCTCTCTGTCTCTCTCGTTCATCTCTTTTCTCTCTATGTCTCTCTCGCTTATCTCTCTTCTCTCTATCTCTCTCTCTGTCTCTCTCGTTCATCTCTCTTCTCTTTCTGTCTTTTTTTTCTGTCTTTCAGTCTCTATCTCTTTCTCTTTTTCTCTCTCTCTCTCTCTCTCTCTTCCACTGTGTTCGCGTTGCTCACTCTCTCCCTTCCGTCTTCTTTATTTACTGAGCTCCCTCTCAATTTATCGATCCACTACAAGAAAATGCACTTTTAGCGACCACTTTGTCTCTCTCTCGCTCACCACTCTGTCTCTGTTTCTCTCTCTGTTTCTCTCTCTCTCTCTCTCTCCTCTATCTGTCTCTCACTCATCTCTCTCTCTTACCACCCATCTCCTCTACCACCTTCACCACTACTACAAATGCCATTTCACTACCACCACTACTACCACGGTTGCCACTTCACATCTACGACTACCATTACTACTACCATCGCCACCACTCCACTACCACTATTGCCACGACTACTACTACTACTACTACTACTACTACTACTACTACTACCATTACCTCTCCTTCACCCCTGTCACTCCATCTACTCTACCACTACCACAACTTCACCACTAATCTCATTCGCTATCACCACCACCACCACCACTACCACAACCACCATCATCTCTTATCCACCACCTTCACCACTACTGCCGCTCCTTCTCCTCTACCACAAAATATTACCTCTACTTCTACCAAATAAAAAATAATAATAATTTTTTTTTCATTAAAATAAAAATAAAACAAATAAATTTTCAATCTTAATAACTAAAAAAATAAAAAAAATGATTTTTTTTAAAAATTCGTTAACTACAAAAAAAAATAAAAAAATAAAAAGAGAGTTAAACCACGTTATTTAAGTTTGTTGTTTAAATTTCATTTGGGACCGAAATTTTTATTATTTTTTTCATTCCCCGTTTTGTTCCCCCCCCTTTTTTTTCCATTCCCTTTTTTTTTTTTCCATTCCTGTTCTGTACCTCCATTTTCTGAACACCCCCCCCCCTCCCCAACCCAAACAAAAAATCCCCAATCTCAAACCCCCCCTGCCCAAAACCAAAAATCCCTAATCTCTTCTTACCCCTTTCTCTCTCGATCGACGGCGACTCTATTGTCATTGCCAAGTCATTCTCTCACATGCTTAACTTGGCTAACCTCGCTGAGGAGGTTCAGATTGCTTGCCGTCGACGAATCGAGTTGAAAAATGGGGATTTTGCTGATGAGAACTCGACAATGACTGAATCAGACATTGAAGAAACTCTCAAGAGACTTGTGGAGGAACTGAAGAAATCTCCTGAAGAAGTTTTTGATGCTCTGAAAAATCAAACTGTCGATCTGGTCTTCACTGCTCACCCTACTCAATCTGTCTGCAAATCTTTACTTCAAAAGCATGGAAGGTTTGTCATTAAATAGTTTGTAATCTTTCATTTGTGCTGTCAACGTGTTATAATCTTTGATGCTATGAATTGTTTTTTATTTGCTTTGATCAATCCCTTATTTTTTTCAGTCAGGATTCGTAATTGTTTAATCCAATTATACGCCAAAGATATCACTCCTGATGATAAGCAAGAACTTGATGGGGCTCTACAGAGGGAGGTAAGGTTGACTGCATAATGCATTAGCTTATATATACCATCATGCTTTGGCATTTTTCCCAATACGTGACTTCTCACAGATTTACCATAATGCACTAAATATCAGGAACATCAATTATGAGTTGCACCACCCACCATTGTCATTAGATTGAGAAGGGTTAGGTGGACAGAAGTTTGTAGCAGTCACAGAAGTCACTTTAGTAGACTAAAACTCAAGATAAGTAAGATGTGAAGTTATGGGTCAAAACAATGCAATTTTGTTCTGCAAAATCAGTAATTCTAAAATTGCATATTTATTTATTTATTTATTTACAAATAAGTGCTCAAAATAGCAACACTGCATATTCATCTTAGACAATAAAGTTAATATATTAGACAATAAAGTTTGAGGCCTTAGTTTTTAGGAGTCTTGTATGTCTTTTAAGCCTTTTAAATTTTGACATAGCCTCAGGGATGTGAGAGAGTTTCTTTTGGTTTGTTATGTTTTCTTTTGTATGACTCTATGAAGAGATTTGTTGCCTAATGCATTTTTCATCATGTGACTCCTGAGGATGTCTTGTGCATCATTGTATATCTTTATTGTTTAGTATATTAACCTTTTACTTACGAAAAGAAACAAAAATATTAGACAGTTTCAGGACCCGAACTCAGAAGTAGAAACTTTGTATGCATAGATTAATCTGAAATAGGGACTGCAATAGGAAGTTGGTGGCCTAATTCATCAGGAATTATAAGACAGAACGCACCATGTATTTTATCCAGCAAACCAATAGAAGAATGTCTCTTAATCCAAAATGAAACAAAGTCATTTACCATAAAGGAAGCACATCGAATGTAAAGATTTAGTACACGGGGAGGGAAAAAAAATTGAGAGAGAGAGAGAGAGAGAGCAAAAGCCAAAGTATGTTACAAAAGAATTTTAGTATCATCCTACCTTGTCTACAGCTTTGATCTCAAGAACATACCGTATTTGATGTCCACTATAAAGCAATGTGTATCATCAAGGTTTAAATAAGTTTAGTGGGTGCTATAAATAAGTTTAGGAATTTTTTTTATCAGTTCATAATTAAGATGAAGAGCCAACAGGATTGACTAGCGCATGAGTTAAGACCATTCCCAGTAGTGTTCCTATGTATTGAGCATTTTGGCATTGACATGATTATTAAAAAAAAATTATGTTAGCTGCACAATAAACATGAAGCAAGCAAGAGTTTAATATACTTTCTTGGGACATCCTCTAATAGCTTAAGCTTTTGGGACAACTGATTACCTAACATGATATCAAAGTTTCACCCAAAAAAACATGATACCAAAGTTTTGGTTCCATGAAACATCACTTTAAACCTTGCATTTCAAACAAGCATTTCAGATTCACTTCGTTATTTATTTTATTTTTATTTTTTATTTTTTTTTACCAACTTTGCTATTTATGATTTTTTTTTCTTATTTTATTCATTGAACTTTGTAAGGTTTTTGATTAGTTATTTTAAGTTCTTTCAAGACTTAATTTAATTTGATAAATTACAATTATTGAAGAACTTCCTTTGTATTGTTATTTTTTAAAAAAAATTCTTTATTGTTTTCTTTTATTCTTCCCCTCCCCTCCCTTTCAAGATGGTTCCACAAAACTCATATGTTGGTATATATTCACGTACTATAAATTTTATAAAAAAAATTAAATATTACTTAACATTATTTTTTACAATATTCTAAACAAAAGGGGTAAAAAATGTGTTGTTTGGTATACTCTTTTCAAATCAAATCATATGGGCAAGGAACCAAGGCAGATACAAAATTGTTCTAAAGAATCATCATTTTGGGTATTTTTGATTGTGACTTGAGAGACGACTCAAGTAGGATTTGGTTGTGACTTGACATTTTCTACATTATCTTGGTATTTGGTTGTGATTAGATTTTGAATTTATTTTGAATGTGTTTGTGTGGTATAAATTGAATTGATGAAGTGTAAGGTTTATATATAAAATAAATTTGAGTTATTAATTTTTTAGGTAAATTTTGGATTTCTAGTATTGTTGATTTGAGATATGCATAAATTTGGAATTCATGATCAATAAAATTTGTATTATTGTAAATTTTATGTCTGCACAAATTTAATGACTGTCTCTGAATGTTATGTTAATTGATCAACATTTTTAAAGAAATTAATTCTTTTATAAAATAATATATAGTTGTGTATTCAATCAAATTATTCATTTATTTGAGGATATAGAACCTTTGTTGTTAGTTGGACATGTTTTCACTATGGTATTTTTGGAAGATGAGATTATTACTCGATGCTAAGATGTTTTGGAAACTTTCAGATTACCAAAGAAAGATAACATATGAAACTTATGATTGGCAAGTGGGGATGTAGCTCAAATGGTATGCGCTTGCTTTGCATGCTCCAAAATTTTACTTTTATTTTTTTGTAGTTTTGTTTCTAGCTTTACTGGTTCACCAAATTAAACACATCTTATGCTGAGAGTTGGGAGATCGTCACTTTGTTTCTCGTCCTCAACGAAGCTTTCAGTTCCAGAATTAAACTATTTGATTTTTGCTGAAACGTAATCCTTCCATCCATCTCATTGGACATTAAATTCATTTTTCCATTTAACTTTGTTTAGCTTGGAAAATAAAAAACAAGTATTTTTTGAGAGGTGACTATTGTTTAATTTTATTTTTTTGAATTTTGCAAGTGAAATTCAAAATTTCTTTTATATTGGATTTTGGGCAATGAAAATGATGAAGTTTAATCCAAAAAAAAAAAATCTCTCATCAAAAGCAGTACAGAATCTTATCATAACAACCGAATGGAAAGAAGTTTGGTTTGATGAAGATGTAATAAGCAAAACAATTGACAGTCTGTTAAGACAAATAGAATCGTTAGTATTTATTCTGTTCATCTAATCACTTTATGTCAAATAGAGAATATTTATTTATTTCCCAACTTCATCGAAAAAATTGAATTTTGATTTTTTTTTTCTTCTAATTTTTTAGATAACCAAATAAAAGTTTTAAATTTTTTTTAAAATTGAAGTCAGAATTTAAGAATCAAACAGGGTGATTAGTTTTTGTTACAGTATTAAAATTTATAATTTTTTTTTTTTGTATTTGATGCTATAGTAAAATTTTTATTTTTGTATTTGATTGAGATGTTTAATTATCCATGTGGGATTTGATGACTAATAAAAAAAATGTTGTATCTGATGCTATAGTAGTTTAATTTTTATGTTTTTTTTGTAATTAACATTAACACATAATTATATTGTCATTAATTATTTTTGTTTTTATTTTTCAGATATTTTCCATGTAGGAGTGTGCTTCTTGTGGAATGCATGCCTGTGGAGAATGTGGCTAATTTTTGTTTTTGTTATGTATGAAGAATGATGAGAAAAATATTTAATTTTGGTCTATGTTATTTTGAATTATGAACAAAATCATGTATTTAAACAGTATATATGTATAATGGAACATTATGTAGTGGGATAATTTTGTTGATGTGTAATTATGAATGGAAGAATATTTTATTATGAAGAAATTGTTATTTTTATACATAAATTTTTATATTATTATGCAATTATTATGGAGAAATTTTAATATTTTTAATAATTTTATCAGAGGATGTTTTTTTCTTTTTTGTGACGGCACTACACCGTCGCAAAAAACAGAGAATTTTAATATTTTTATTGATTTTGTTACAAGATTACTTTTTGCGACGGCACTAAACTGTCGAAAAAAATAGAAATTTTATTATTTTTTAATACTTTTTGCGACGGTAGTACACTGCCGCAAAAAATAGAAATTTTTCATATTTTTAATACTTTTTGCGGTGACTATTAGCGACGGCATTTTTTGCCGTCTCAAATAACATTTTTAGTGACGGTAAAATAGTGCCGTCGCAAAAAGTCAAGAAATTTCAAACATTATTAGCGACTGCAAAGTGCCGTCACAAAACATTAGCGACGATACTGTGCCGTCGCAAAAACTCTTTTGCAACCCCCCAGTTGTGACCCCCCTTTTGCCGTCGCAAAAAAGTTTTTTGCGACGGCATTAAGAGTATTAGCGACGGCATTTTACCGTCGCAAAAAGTTGAAATTTTAGTAGTGGAACCTTTTGAGATTCTTAGGCTTCATCTCATCACTTAGAGAAATCATGAATGTTTCCCCGTCAATCTCAAAACGACGGTGGGGTATAGCTCCACGCTTGCTTCTACGCAGTTGAGAGTGCTGAGAATCCTTATCCATTGGATCTAATTCATGGGTAGGTAAATCGTTCCTACTGTCCCTAGGAGTTTGAGGGATTATTTCTTCATTCTCTACTAGGTTACTAGGTGTGCCTTAATGTAGATCCTTCATCTCATAGAACTCTACATCTCTAGTTACCTCACCTTTGCTAGGGAAATCCTCCTCTAGGAAATTCACGTCTCGTGACTCAATTTCAGTCACACTTCCATCTAGATGCTCTCCAATAAACACATAGCCCTTAGAATGCTCACTATGGCGAATGAAGATACACTTCTTTCCTCTAGGGCCTAACTTCCTAAACTTATGAGAAGCGTTGTGTATGTAAGTTGCTGAACCTCGAGGCTGAAAATTGCCCATATCAAGTTTTTTGCTCGTCCACATCTCATATGAGATGGAAGGAACTGCTTTGGAGGGCACACGATTAAAGATGTAGACAGCAGTCAACAAGGCATCTCCCTAATAAGAAATGGGAAGATTAACTTGCGCCATCATAGATCTAACCATGTCAAGCAATGTGCGATTCCTTCTCTCCGCTACACCATTTTGCTGCGGAGTCCCAGGAATTGTTAATTGCCTGATAATCCCTTTTTTCTTGCAGGGCACTTTAAATTGCTTAGATAGATATTCGCGTCCTCAGTCAGTCCTTAGAGCCTTAATGCTCTTGTCTAATTGATTCTTAACCTCATTAACATACTATCTAAAACAATCCAATGCTTCTGACTTGTGAGAAATCAAATAGACATGGCCAAAGCGCGTGCAGTCATCTATAAATGTGATAAAATAAGGGGCTTCATGCCTTGCCCTCACATTCATTGGTCCATATATATTAGAATGAATAAGCTGTAATGGGATAGATGCCCTTTTGGCTTTCCCAAATGGTTTCCTTGTTGCCTTTCTAGCAAGACAGTGCTCAAAAGTAGGCAAAGTGACTCTACCGAGTGGGCCTAAAAGGCCTTCTCTAGCTAATCTAGTTGTCCTATCTTGCCCTATGTGGCCTAATCTAACATGCCATCTCATAGAATCATTATCACAAATAGATGCAATGTAAGAAACAGAGCTATTGGCATTTTTATTAAAACTAGAATCATCTACATCCAAAACTAGGAAACCATCTAAAAGATAACCAAAACCATAAAAAATTGTTCCCAAATAAATGCTAACACCATTATTCTCAAAACAAAAGCTAAAAATAAGGCTTATCATGCTAATAACTGAAACTAAGTTTCGCTGAATATCGGGAGCATAAAGAACATCATGAAGATACAAGGTGTGCCTTCGTCGCATTTCTAGCTTGTATGTGCCAATGCCAAGCACCTCCACACTGGACTCGTTCCCCATGTAAACTTTATGCTCCTAGCAGGTACTCGATGATACTCAATGAACCTTACTCTGTTCCTTACGATGTGGTCTGTTGCTCTTGAATTTATAACCAAAAATGAGAAGAATGAGCAATTTATGCTTGACTAGAAACAAAGTATTTAATGCGAGAAACTAAGTAAGGGAGTACCTTCTTCTGCTCAGGGCAATCCAGAGCAAAATGTCATATTTATTATAGTTAAAGCGTGTCAGTTTAGCTTTTACCTTCTTACCACCTTTTTTGCCCCTACGCTTGAAATTTATGGCGCCATTAGGCTTTAGCGCAGTTACTGCTTGTTTCTTAGGAGCACCTTTTGCTTTTCCACGCTTGAACTGAGAAGTCCTATGCGAGCTTGACTCAACCACCATAGCAGAACTATCAGACTTAGCCGCCTCTAGGCGCTCAGCCTTTAGCTCTAAATGACGCGATATGTCTTCAAATGTTTTCACACTCTCATTATGCATCATGTTTTGCTTCATCTGCTCCCAAGAATTTGGCAGAGAATGAATCACAGCTTGTACTTGTTGCTCTAGAGTCAAATTGTGCCCAACAGCCGTAAGCTCACGTATCATGGTTGGCATGACCCTCAAATGCTGCTTCATCGAGTGATGCACTTTTTCTAATAAGAGTCAAACCTCATAGTTAGCCCACGTAGCTTTGCCAAAGAGGTGACACCAAGCTTTTGCTTGAGAGCTTCCCACGTCTCAAATGCAGTCGGGCAATGCTCAAACTCACTAATCAAGTCGTTGTGCATGCTGCTCAACATGGTAAAGCGTGCACATAGATCTTTATTATCCAAGTCTTATAGACTTCAAGATCACGACGATGTTGAGTTATATTGCCCTGCTCAGGCTTAACCATCACTTGTTCAAGTGTGTTCAAAACTTCTTGCTCATTGAGGAGGTATTGGATCTTACGGCGCTATATGTCATAGTTATCGCCATCCAATTTCTTTCCCTTAGTTAAGTCTGCCACCACTGTCTTAGCTGCCATTTCTACATACAGAGTAAAGGAAGAACAAATGGGCAGGGGATATTAATGATAGCAACACAAAATTATTTTGCAGCAAAAGAATCTAAATTAAATAATGATAACATTACACATGTCTCAAGATCGAAAATTTTCTATGCTCGTAATCATCTCTTGCGCCTCTAGTGACAATTATCAAAATTTAATTTAATTCCATGCACAAAAAAAAAAAAACCTCTCACTTCTTATGGCATGTACAAAGCATGATAATTAGTCTAATTCCATACAATAGCATCTTCATGTAAATTTACTATTAGCTCATGATATATTCATTTAACAATGGAATTCAATAAAAAAAAAAAAAACTAATCATGCTTCTCTAATCACAACATATTACAAACTCTAGGCAAAAATAATAATATGCTGTGTTTAATATTCAGATTATGCCATAACAGTAAGTACATCACTTTTGAAATTTTCTGGAATTTTAAATAATTAATAAATACACATAAAATCAAAAATAAATATTCTAGAATCTAGTAAAATGCAACAATCATACCAATAAATAATAAACCATTACTGTAGTCTACAGTAAAAATTTCAGCTTCAGAAACTTAGTCATGTAACACCAGAAGCATTTTAAAACAGAAATAATGAATTATCATTTCAGGAAAAATAATTTTTATTTTCATAAAACTTTGAAATTTTTACAGTAGATAAAAAATTTAATTTTGAGTCTAACAGTAACAATCACGCTTAAAACAAAGCTATAACAAATTACTTATGACCATTTAAAGCAATTTTCATTTAAAAAAAAAAAAACAAACAGTGCCTTAGCACCCAACAACCAAGCCGGCGCGAAAAACGACACGGTGCGTGGCGCACGCGTGGATGACTCACGCAGATGATATGCGCAAATGACACGCCTGTGAGAAGAGTGCCTGATGCGTGCAGGCTGGCAGTGACGCGTGGCGCGCTCATGGGCGGCACTGACGGCGTCATCTGGGGCATGCAATCCACGCGTTGCCTTCCGGGGTGTTTTCTGGTCAAATTTTGGTACTGTCGGACTCCATTTTCCAAAATAAAAACCTTGGTGGTCTTAAAAGTGACATTTAATAAATAGAAATAATGGGGTGTATCACATACTCTCTCTAGTGAGAGTTTTGCACTTCATTTTCTTCCTTGAGCCACCAAAAAACTAAAATGAACCCAAATTAGGGTTTGATTTTTCACATCAACCGTAAGTCCAAATCTAACAAATAATATATGGTTTCGAAGGTCTCGAAACAAGGATTCTAAATATGTAAGATTTGTAGACTGAAATTAAAGCATGTAAAACCATCATGCAAACAAAGTTTCGAGAATATAAAATGGGTCTTCATTTTTCTTGCAATCTAACTGTTGAATTTTCATGAAACTTTGCAGATATATTCTACATGAAATGTACTACAACATATGTATATATATATATATATATAATTATATACTTATTTTAATGCAAAAAAATAAGTACGAAAATATTCATTTAATGCTCTGATACCAATGTAAGATAGAGAAAATACAGTGGGTAAAGAGATTCAAACTATACCTTGTTTGATAGAATCCAACTCGAAGAACCTTGTGGGTAATCACATGCTTCACAAACCACGAACTACGAACACCCAGCAATGGAGTGATACCATAGTATGAGTATTACCCACACTAGTCACAATGCAAAGACTTGATCTTTGTTTTTAATGGGAGAGAGTTATAGAGAGAATATGGAAAAAAATCATTTGTTATTCGATACATCCCACATCCCATATACTGTATCAGATATATAGGCTGAGCATCTAACCATTTATCCATATCTCTTGATAAGATATGGTAGATATAGATATTGATTATGGATTATCCAAATAATTCAAATCCAAATTCAAATTTACATGGATAATTTAATTGGTCATGGGTCATGCCACATGTGCGCTCAAATCCGGGTCCAATACCTAGCCCAATTTCCAACACTGACCTTTTTATGATACAAAAAAAGAAGCCTATTTCACCTAAGTCAGAGAGGTTGTGAAGATTGAATCATAAACAAATGTGATCATCATAACATTATCGATTCATCAAGCGAGCTGAGTTTCCCACCCAATTATCGACTAGTAACTGACAATTATTAGCCATAGGCAAATTCAAGAAAGGAAGACCACAAGATGGGTTAAGAAATCCACCACTGCCATCGCTACTGTCGCCGCCGACGACGATGGAAACCTCTGACACCGGTGGCTGAATCCAAAACGCCGCCTCCTCCTCATCCTCTTCCTCATCCAACGACAGTCTCTCATAGGCAACATTACTAAACGATGCCGTAATCAAAACCATTGGCCCCGCCGCCATGAGATCTTCCACTACACTCCCTCCCACCAGCTGTCCCTGCCCTCCACCCAAAAACACCGTCAAGCTCGTCGCTCCCGGCGGCGCAGACGACAGCAAGAATGACTCGCTCAACAATAGAATCTCAAACCTCTCATGTAACCTCACCATCGCACCACCACCCATCGCCATGGCTGGCTGCTGGAGACTCACGTTCGTGACGGTTCCATTCTGGCCCAAAACACAAATCCCACACTGCCAGCGGCGGGCATAGATGGCTACGGAGTCAAACACGTCGCAGCCATTGCTGACCTCGAGAATATGAGCTCGGAGAGTGTTCGCGCTCTCTCGGGTTATAAGTACCTGTGGTTTGGGCTTGTTTTTGGATTCAGGTGGTCGGCCTCTTGGCCGATGAGGGACCATATCATCGGAGTGGTGGCAGCCGTTGTTGTCGTCGTTGTGTCCTTCGTTTTCAGGAATTGGTGATAGGCATAATGAGAAGCATTGGCTAAATCAACTAGACATGTTTCTACAACAACATAAAAAGAAACAAAAAACAAGAAAGAAAAAGTAATAAAAAAATAGTGTGAGAAAGATTTAAAGCTGTTTTTGCTTTGATTATTTTATCGAGTAAGCTATATATAAAATAAAATAAAAAATGTTAAAAATAGAAAAAAAAGAGATCTATGGAAGTTAATCACTAGGTTTTGAATAGAGATTGGATTCGAAAACTTGAGTGGGTTTGAGGATTTGAGTGGAGAGAAAGGGAAGAGGAAAAATGAGGAGGAGGATTGCGGCAGAGACAAGAGAGACTCAAAATGCAGTCATTTCTCTCACGCTACATGTTTAAATATAAGAAAAAAAATTATATATATATTTTAAATATTTATTTATTTATTTATTAGATGAAAAGATTAGAGGATAAATAAACGTGTTTTCAAAGCGCGTAAAAGTGTAACATGTGCATGGTTTAATTTTAACTATATCAGGTATATATAAATATGAATTATGTAAATTTTTATATTTTCTAAACTAATTTAGATTTACCCTTAATTGCAAAAAATTAGATAGAGATCACAGAGTTGACCCCAAAGCTTTAGGAGTCAACTCTTAATTCTAAAGAGTTTGGCTGTGAACAGTGAATCGCCTTTTGAATGTAGAGTCAACCCTATTCATGGTGCAAATGTTGCCTGTGCCCCGTGCAAATGTTATTTTGGCACTGTGCAAGTACTATTTTGTAAGGTTGTGCATATTTATCACTTGAATTTTGCACATATTGTACTTATTTCGAGTACAAAATTTAGGTTTTAGAGATAAATTTTTAGGGACAAAAATAATTTATCTGCAAAAATTATACTTTTAAGGACAAAATGAAGGAATTTATATATATATAATCATGTTATTACATTTTTTAGACAAGTTTATTTGGTTGTAAAAGGATCAGTCACGTTTACCTACAATTTTAGTTGTTCCCTAATAAACCCAAATCATACATTATTTTATTTTATATATTGATTTTTAAACTCAATAGTCGGGACTATCTAAAAAAAAAGAAGAAGCATCCAGGTTCTATATTTCATCACTCACTCTCTCTCTCTTTCTCAAATCCCTAATTTCTTTTTCTTTCGCAAATGCAATGGTTCTTCTCTATGGATCTTGTTGATTGCTTCTGATCTCAGCAACAATTTCATCCCCGAGGAGTCCACTGTGATTTCAGCATCCGATTTCGATCGATTAATCGATTTCAGTCTCATAGATTTGGTTTTTGATCCATTGTTCGTATTTATTCTTCGAAAATGCTTATTTATCGGTGTAATGTTTCTGTTGATGATGTATTATCATAATATGATTCATTTTTATTTTGTATTTGTGAGTGTTAGATTCGTTTAGAGTGTTATCATAATGCACTGTGATTTTGTGAAGCGGAACAAGTGAGGTGAGAGAGAGCTTGAGAAGTTTGATTTAGACATACCTACTCTGTGATATTAGTCGTTGAATTTCATGGCCAATCAATGGAAATGTATGAATATTAATGCAGAAGGAAGACAAGAAAAAATCAACTTGCTTTCAAATTTATAATTAGGCAAAACTCTCAGTGAATATTATTTCTCGTGTATGTATATAATAAGAATGTGTTTGTTTATGATAACTAATAGTGAAAGTGCTTTTTATTTTAAGTGTTTTAAAGGTTATTAGTTGAAGGTTATTATTATATAATTATATGTAATGCTTTAATCGAAGAATTTGTGTTCTTGTTTAAATTCTCTCTATTTTCTACTCTATTAATCGTACTAGGTTCGTTTCCATCTCTCTCTCTCTCTCTCTCTCTCTTATGTTTATTGGTTCATAGTTGAGTCATGGGTTATTCATGTTTAGTTTAATTGAGGCTTAAAAATCATTTATTAGCTTAAAATTTGAGTAATGTTACAATGATCATTTAGGTTTTTCTTGGTACACTACAAGAATTAACATTTTTAGCGACCAAAAAATTGGTCGCAGAAAGATCATATCTAGTTGTTGATGAGTTTTCGTGACCAAAAAAAGTTGGTAGCAATGTAGTCACTAAAAGCCGGTCACAGTTGGTTTTTAGCGACTAAAACTAAAGTTGGTCGTGGAAAGTATTTCAATTTCTCAAAAGTAGTTTATTTTGCGACGGAAAATTTAGTCGCTGAAATATGGTTTTGATGACTAAAATAGAGTTGGTCGCGAAAATGGAAATGTATGAATATTAATGCAGAAGGAAGACAAGAAAAAATCAACTTGCTTTCAAATTTATAATTAGGCAAAACTCTCAGTGAATATTATTTCTCGTGTATGTATATAATAAGAATGTGTTTGTTTATGATAACTAATAGTGAAAGTGCTTTTTATTTTAAGTGTTTTAAAGGTTATTAGTTGAAGGTTATTATTATATAATTATATGTAATGCTTTAATCGAAGAATTTGTGTTCTTGTTTAAATTCTCTCTATTTTCTACTCTATTAATCGTACTAGGTTCGTTTCCATCTCTCTCTCTCTCTCTCTCTCTCTTATGTTTATTGGTTCATAGTTGAGTCATGGGTTATTCATGTTTAGTTTAATTGAGGCTTAAAAATCATTTATTAGCTTAAAATTTGAGTAATGTTACAATGATCATTTAGGTTTTTCTTGGTACACTACAAGAATTAACATTTTTAGCGACCAAAAAATTGGTCGCAGAAAGATCATATCTAGTTGTTGATGAGTTTTCGTGACCAAAAAAAGTTGGTCGCAATGTAGTCACTAAAAGCCGGTCACAGTTGGTTTTTAGCGACTAAAACTAAAATTGGTCGTGGAAAGTATTTCAATTTCTCAAAAGTAGTTTATTTTGCGACGGAAAATTTAGTTGCTGAAATATGGTTTTTGATGACTAAAATAGAGTTGGTCGCGAAAATTAGGAATTTGCGACCATATATGTTGGTCACGGAAATCATTTCAATTGCTCGAAAGTGGTCATTTTGCAACGAAAAAGCTACGCTGAAAGATAACAATTGCGACCACCGATTTTAGTCACTGAAATGTGGTTTTTGGCAACCAAAACTATCTTAGTCGCGAAAAATCTAGCACAACAACTGCTTGTCAAGGACCTATTGCGACTAAAATTTTATTGGTCGTAAAGAAACTTTCAATTTTAAGCAACATATGTAATACTACTTTTTTTTGTAATACCTGTAATACATTTACAATTAACACATAATTCATGTCCATTCAATTAATTTCAACATACCAATCCATCAACAATCCAATCTACAAGCAAAAAAAACATCAAAAGGAAGTCAAAATAATAATTAATCCATCTAATTAGTACCACCTGTCAACATGAACATATTAATATTTGACAAAATAACCATCCATTTAGTTTACAAAATTATCATCTATCCATCCACTTAGTGTACAAAATAACCATCCATCCATTTATTGTACAAAATAACCATCCATTCATCCATTTAGTTTACAATGTATATTCACCAAATCAAAAACATATATCAGAAAATTATCAAAGATTTCAAAAACCATTCATATCCAAGTGCATGTCATATTTGTCTGATGTGAAATATATCAAAAAGTCCATGTATAAGCATAACTTAGAATTCATGCACCGGCAAACTGATCATGTCCTTAAACACGCATGACTACACCTCTAGCTGCCTACAAGGGAAAAAAAAAATGAAGAAAGCGTTGTTAATAATAATATTTTTGATTACATTTCTATTTAATTTTGTAAAATTCTGTGGATCTAATTCCACTTCCAAACTAGCAATCACACAGAGCTTTATTAGCAATCGCATGGAGCCTTTTGAACGTCATGATTACATCTTAACATATTGTATTAAGATGTTGATTTTAGCATATTCGATTTCACTTAACATATATTAAGTTTCCTCCCCATGATACAAACTCATGATGGTATCCATCAGCTCTTTTTAAATTATCTTTTTGGGTGTTCTATCCTAACGCTTCTATTTAATGTGCCATCTTCATCTTCTGCAGGTAGCAGCATATGACACAGTGGAAAAGAAAATGGCATTTTTTGAGCCTTCACATGCTAAAGATTTTCTCTTCATCTCTGGAACCAAGGTAGGAATTGAATCCTGATTTTCTGGTTGTTAGTAGTGTATCTCAGGCTCTACATATCTTAACATAAATTCTTGTAGAAGAATTCGTTATAGAACATTAGAATCTTTTAGAGTTCTAAATATTATCTACATCCAAGTATGCATATTTTGTGTTTTTGTCAGGGGGGCTAGGTTTTCTTTTGCCAAGAGCCACCTCCAATCTGAATGTTGTGAGGGTATGATGTTTTGCTCAAAGTTGCATGACAATTCAATTTGTCATAACTTGGATAGAATAGGCTAAATGAATTAGGTCTAATCTAATGATCTTAACTCTTAAGCAATCAGTGGAAATAATATGACAAAATTGGTTTAAAATCGGTTTCACGAGAGAGTAATGCCTATTGTGGAAAGGGAAAAAAAATATTCCCTTCTAACTTGTGTGTGTTTTGATCGAAGGTGTATGTTATCCTAGATGCATGGAAGTGGTATTCAAGAGTTAGTCTTTTTTCTTGAGATCTAGTATCGACTAGCATTATTGCTACCTGGGATAAGAGGTTGTGACTTGGCATGTTGACTAGTGTTGTCCACTCAGCCTTGTGGCATGGGTTTGAGTCATGTGAATTACCTTCTCCACCGAAAAATAAATAAATAAATAAATAAAAAAGGGGGGTAAGGTTGCCTACCTACCGACTCTTCCAAACCCTATTGTAAGTAGGAGTTTTTTGCAACAAATAGTGTGGGTAAGATTGCATACCTACTAATTCTTTGACTTTACTATAAGCGGTAGCCTTGTGCACTGGGGAAGACAGATTTATTTATTTATACATAGGATATGCATGCTTAGAAGACATTAATGTTCAGGGCCTAGCTTACAACAGAGACATTAATGTTCACTTGAACTTAAATGCTTGCTTAAAATAAAACATGGAAGTTCATGGCCTCTAGGTCATATGCCTGATTAGAATGAAAGAAACCTAGAAAATGCATCTGTATGTCTTGTTGATTGCTCAATTAACACTCTTCTAAATGGAGTCACACATCCTTGTAGATTTGATGGATATACATCGAAGGAGGATACATCCACTAGATCTTTCACTATTTATTCAAAACATTATATCTAAACCTCAAACTTTGCTGAAAATTTTGAAACCGACTTTTCCAGGTTCATACTTTGTATTTTAGATAATGAGAATTATGCAATAAAGATATATTTGGAGGAGCATCATTGCATATATGGCACTACTTTGTTTTCAAACTTTATTGATAAGAACTTGTAGATTTCATATTTGTTTTATGTCATATTTTGTTGAAAAGATTTTCAAGAGGAAAGAAGAAGAAGAATTACAAACAGACATACGTGGAGAATGATGTCTGAGTCAAAATGGACAAGTTGGTTAATTATAAAATATTGCTATTTTAAAAGCACTAATATATGTAATAAAATTTAAAGTACTTATTCATCAAAAGAGTCGTATCCACTATGATCGCCTAGCATTTGTCTCATAAAGTGTTTGAACTGCTCAAAGCATTCTTCATATGATTGAATTATCCTTTTTAGTGATGCTACCTCTTTTTTAAGGCCCTCAACCTCTTTATCATGTGCTTGTGACCTAGCTGTAGACTTGAAAGTGGCTGACGGCTTTGGACTAACACCGAAACCTTTCAAATACCCTGACTTCTTCCCAAGGACTTGAATAGAAATTTGCTCTTGTGTGAGTGGGGTTGCTCCAGACTGTGAAACTTTCTCATGAAGTTGGTCCATCTTCTCCTGTCAATTAAAAAAAAAAGGTTAATTACATTTATTCTTGTTGCTTTATGATTGGAACAATTTGTGTTGTCTTGGCAATTCATCTATTGGCAATTCATCACTGAACCTATTTTTTGGACAGGTTCATGTAAAGCTGTTGGGACTCGTTTGGTGGTTTGGAGGTGGCTGCGTTGGGTGCCCTTCCATGGATAATGTCTCTCTTGTTCTTAAAAGGAATAGCCTATTAACTTGGTGGTGGCTGCAACATGCGCCCTATCATGTTATTGGTTGGAAAATCTGTGTAGTTTTAATTAATACATGTAGATCTCTGTTTCTATTTTGGTGGTTAATTTGGTCTTTATTATTAATGCCTACTTGTACGGGTTGTGTAGGAGATTATATGTGTAGTTTTAATTACTATGTGTATATATTTTTATACTTCAGGTATGTAAAGTGCTTTTAAGTAAAACCAGGAGGAGTTAAAGTGTAACTAATCAAAGAAAACAAAAAAACAAGTAGTTAAGAATATGAATAACAAATATAGTGAAGGTATCCTTACATATAACACCCCACAAATTGGTTCAATCCAATCATTCTTTTTCTTACTCCAATGTGAGGTCTTGTAAAAATCTACAATGTGAGGCTCCTTGCCATTTTGAATTCCCTGCATTAAAAATATAAAATGCAAGCTTAGCAATATTATTAATAAAAAAAATACAGCATTAATTAGTAGTTTTAAAACAAAAAATATGTTACCTCAATTGAGATTGCCGCTGAAAATAACCTTGAACCCATGGTGTGATTATAGGGTAACTTTTTTCTATTGTCTATGGCTCTTTCTGACCATTTCTATAATGCAATACAAATATTAGCGTATTCATCAGTATCCATGCTTGTTTGTAACAAGAAATGAAGATTTCATTTTCATTGAATTATTCACATATCATTACAATGTAACACGATTTAATTGTAAGTAATGAATGAAGGATTGTACATATCAGTGGACTTGTTGATACTCTTATCAATGGCTGGTTCAGTGCAGAGTTTGAGATAATTTCAATGAAAATAATATTAGGAAACAGATTTGCAATTCCATCAAAGTCAATATTTTTTTTATCTACTAGCGAACAAAATTTTGCAACAAAGTTTGAGATAATTTCAGAAATCCACCAGATACTGTAAAACTTGACAAGGGTACTCAGTTACTGGATGTGAGCAAGGGAAAACAAAGTTTGTTCTGAAGATCTAGAACTTGAAAAACTAATGGTTTAAAATATAGGACACTGATCTGGACAGATAGTAGAGATAGTTGGCACATGAAGAGATGCAGGAGGTATAGATGGTTTAGATAAAGAGGTAGCAGATATAGATGGTGCAGAGTAAGAGGTAGCAGGTAAAGGACCTGAAATTGGGACAAAGACAACACAAGAAGGCATAATGATGATTTGTGGTGCAATTAGAAGAAACATTCATGAGTGTTGAGTTAATTACATTGTGTGTCACCAAGAAACACATGATCAATCATGTACCTCCAATCTTTTTCGGTCACCCCAACAAATGGCTTACTATAAGGATCTGTTCATGATTTCCCCAATGCTTTATAATGTTGATTCATATGATATCGCCAGCCTTTGAACAAATGTGTGACTTTGTGTCAATAATTTCTTGTGCGAGTGGGCTCTCATCGTATCCTTCAATCTCAAACTTACCTTGTCCCAATTAAATAATTAGACAAGTAAATAGACATCATATATATTAACCTACTTACATTAACTATAAAAATTAATTACCCGCAAGAACTGCACAATAGCGGCTCGAATGGCTGGTGGAACATCCTCCCAATTTTTTGTGTTGCCTTAGTGGCATTAAGACCCACAAATGTTATTTGCTCACTAGAAACTCCAACAAAAAGCTTCTTGCCACCATGTTGGGTGATAAGGCCACTAATCTTCTTACCCCTTGTCGGACCTCGTACTCGCTTCACTGATAAACCTATATTATAAACACAAAATCTCACAGTTTTATATGAAGAGTTATTTATGGGTTGCTGCTGGTTACTGTTGTGAACAACTTAATAGTAGCCTATAAAATTGAAAGAACGGATTTTGATTAATAGATGTGAACAGATTAATAGATTTTGAATAGATTAACAGATGTGAACATATTTTGAACAGATTTAAACAGTTTTGAACAATTTAACAGGTTCAATTTAACAATTTCTTATGAAGAGTTGTTTAGCAAATTTGAACATCTATTTAAATATGTGAATTAAGAAGTCAATCAACAAAATTGGAAAGAAGAAGTAAAGAACATTTTGTAGCAGTGTATATTCTATGTTAAAGTTGAATTGAACCTGTTGCATGTGTGTATGCCTGTTTAAGATGCATTAGTAGAAACAATTGGGGCATTTTCTAATTAAGTATGAGACATGCAGTGTACATTCTATGTTGATTGGAATTCTATAATGTTACTGATTAAATAAATGGGTCAAACCTATTAACAGCACCATGGGTCATAACGTTTTTTTATTAAATAAATGGACTAAAAGCCAAACAGTACCGTTTCGCTGTCACAGAACTATGGCTGTGACAGCATGCCCTCTCAGTCCTATACATGATGGGAATCAACATAAATTACAATGGTGGGTGCAAGAATCAAACTATTCTATACAAAGGATGAAACGCTTACAAATACCAACTGTCTGTGATGATGGAGATGTTGACAAGTGAGTTGGGACCTCAGTTGGGGTTGCCTCTGACATTGAAGTCATTGACCTCCTCTTGGTGGCTTGCAAAGGTGGTATATGTGTAGTCTTTGTATGTAACAAATAAATTATAAGCAATGCATTAATAAATATTTAAAATGCATGACAATTCATGAAATGATAAGATAAGCTAATAGTCTAATATTATAACTACATTACAATTAATGAAATTGTCAACAAAAAAATTCATTACAATTTGAATCATAACTAAACATGACTTCATTAACAAGTGCATGCCATTACAATCCAGGACATTACAATCAAAATGACTTCATAATGTAAATAGTGAAGGACATTACAATCAAGGCTCTACATCATCATTTGTATCCGAGTCATCATGACTACGAAATTCATCTTCATCATCACTAGGATCATTTGAATTTTGATCATCATCATCATCATCACATATAAAATCATCTCTGTTTGCAGCCTCTACATATACACCTCTACCAGATTGCAGAACCACTTCACTTGGAATAATATCAGGTGCAATATCGGTCCTACATAAAGTGTTGCAAATGGAATCTACAATGGTGATTTGAACAATTTCAGTGGTCTCGTCCTGCTAGAATACATTATTTAGAATAGGCAATTCATTATCATTGGGATCTACATCCTCAAGCTCCGGCACATTCCATATTCCTCGACGTTGAAGTAGCTTTACGACTTTCCAATGTTCACCTAATTTGGTATCATTGACCTAAAAAACTTGTTACACTTGACTTGACAAGACAAATGGGTCATTTTGATACCAACGACTCCTTACATCAATGGTTGTTAGATATATTTCAGTGCGAAATGTTCTGCTGCTACCAGTGTTAAACCATTCACATTGAAACAACACAACTCGATGCCCGAACATGTATGTCATTTCCCAAACTTTAGTCAAGTGACCGTAGAAATCAATTGACATACCCTGATGATCCCCTTGAACGACCACACCGCTATTTTGACTTTTACGACGGTTGTCTCGATCTTTGGTATGGAATCAAATACCATTAGAAATAGAACCCAAATAAATATTCACTATTGGACCAGGATCATTAGCTAATGACCATAGCTCATCAGTTGCTTCTGATGATCCTTTAGCTCGTAATTGATTTATCTACATGAACATGTGACAAGGATGTATGATGTTAATATCAATCTACGAACAGTGAATTATGTTTATGATGTTTATTGTATATTTATCTATATATCTTTCCCGCTCTTTGAACCACCTAGGAAATTTTTCTTGTTGCCGTCTTGTAATATCATGTACATTTGCATTTTGTAATTGATTCTTGTGTTTTCTACTTCAAAAAAATGTGAATAACTAGTACTTGAGTGCGACCATAACGAAAAAGTTATGCATATAGTTAACTAAATTAGAACAATGAGAACATACTCTAGATATTTATCGATTTCAGGACTATTGTACAAGACAAACCATGGAGCCACTTTTCTTTCATTCTTAGACACGTCAAGTGCCCTTTGAGTTAGCCCAAAAGTACAGACTTTTTGTGAAAAAACTGAATACCCCATGCCAACATCACCACCATCTTCATTTCTTTCCTCTTTGTTAAATACGGTTTTAATCCCACCAAGATAAATAGAGCAAAAAGTGAGGCACTCTTTCACAATGTAAGCTTCTACAATCAAACCTTCTGGGCGAGGTTGATTTGCTACATAACCTTTCAAAATTCCAAGTAATCTTGAACAAATAACATGAAATTACTATACAAACCACATATACAGTACTATAATATTAAAAAAAATAATTTTACAATAAGCGCATAATAATACCTTTTGATAGGGTACATCCATCGATATTGTATTGACCCTCCAAGAATGGCTTCGCGAGGCAAGTGAATAGCTAAGTGGACCATGACATCAAAGAATATAGGTGGAAATTTTTTTTTCTAACTTGCAAAGTATGAGTACTATGCTTTCTTGTAATTTCTCCAAATCATTCACCCTCATTGTTTTCAAACATAACTCTTGAAAGTAATTTCCTAACTCAAACAATGCAATAGAAACGTCCTTGTTAAGATACCCACGCATCCCAATAGGAAAAATTCGTTGTACAAGAACATGGCAATCATGACTTTTCAAATTGGATAACTTGTTGCCCTTAGTGCTCACACACCTAGAGATGTTTGCTGCATATCCATCAGGATACCTAACTGATTTTAAGAATGCACAAAAACCTTGTCTTTCCTTTAGGGACAATGTGTACAATGCAAGGGGCTTTTCAAAGGACCCATCCACGCGCCACTTGAAGTGCAAATCTTTTCTAATTTTCAAATCCTCTAAATCCATGCATGCTTTTTTCGTGTCCTTGTTCTTTCCATCAAAGCTCAACAAAGTCCAAATCAAATTATCACATATGTTCTTCTCTATGTGTATGACATCGAGGTTATGTTGTAACTTGAGTGTCTCCCAATAAGGCAATTCGAAAAATATTTTTTTTGGTCCAATTCAGTATTATATTTTCATCCCTTTTTCTTTTCTGGTTGCTTGGATGCTTCCCAAATGGTTTAAATGTTCCTGAATCCAGTTGATCTAATATTTTTTCCCCTGACAACTCCAAAGGTCTTGCTCAATCATCTGCCTTTCCATTAAAGAGCTTACTTTTTCGCCAAGGATGGTCTTTAGGCAAGTATCGGCGAGCACCAATATACCCTATCTTACTTCTTAACCGTTGTGATGATGCATTCTCATTACAATTGGGGCAAGCCAAATATCCTTTTGTACTCCACCCTGACAAGTTACCATAAGTTAGAACACATAACAATTGCATGTATTCGAAAACTTGGCCTAGTTGAGGCATCATACGTAACTACACCATCTTCCCACAACTCCTTCAATTTGTCAATTAATGGCCTTAAGTAAACATCAATATCTCTCCCTGGTGCTTGCTGTCCAGAAATAAGCAATGACATCATGGAAAATGGTTATTTCATACACTTCTACGGTGGAAGGTTATAAGGCATAACTACCACTGGCCATATACTATATGAGTTGCTCATATTTCTAATAGGGTTGAAACCATCAGTGGCTAACCCTAGCCTCACATTACGTGGTTCTTGAGCAAACAGAGTATGTTGCCTGTCAAAGTCCTTCCATGCCTCACCATCGGCTAGATGCCTTAATATGCCATGTCAACACGTTTTTCTTTGTGCCATCTCATATCTACAACTGTTTTTCTCAACATGTATAATCTTTGCAACCTTGGTGTCAACGGAAAATATCTCAAAATCTTATGAGGGATCTTCTTACCTTTTCCATCATTCAGTTTGTATCTAGGCTCTTTACAAATTGGACAATTTTCTAAATTTGCATTTTCCTTCCAAAAAAGAGCACAATCATACTTACATGCATGAATAGGTACATATCTTAAACCCAAGTCACGCAAAAATTTCTTGCCATCATAAAGGGTCCATGGAACCTTTTGATCACTTTCTAGTAAAACGTCTTTCAATACACCCAACAACATGTCAAAAGACTTATTGCTCCACTTGTTAAACACTTTCATATGAAGCATCTTAATAACAAATGATAACAAAGTAAACTTTTGACATCCAAGGTATAACGGACGCCGAGCATCCTCTAATAATTTATCAAAGTTTTGTGCATCCCTGTTTGCTCATTATCATGTGTAGACACCCCATTTTTGACCGCCCTTAAGACTTGGGCGTCACTGATCGCTTACTTGGTGATGAAAGATGTGTAGTGTAAAGGTTCGATTTCTTCGGCAAGGAGAGAGTCAAATCCTAACGTCACACCTTATTTTTGGACTAAAACTATTTTGAATGATTTTTAGACCTTAAAACCCTCTCTTTCAAAATATTTTTGAAACAAAGTTCCTACAATGTTCTGAGGCTTGCATTTTGTTAAATGTTGAGCTTTTCGGTAAATCGAGCAAGGACAAAGCAGAAATGAATGAAATAGAGGTGAAATCTTTGAAAAATCTTTCAAAACATCTTGGTTAGAGGTTTGGGGTTGAAGAAAATTGAAAGAGAGGAAAGAAACCCAGTTGGGGAAGAAGTTGGGCATGGATTGTTAAGAGAGAGTTGAGCAGCCCTCGCTAAATTGGGTCTATCCATTTGTACACTTGGATTTCATCTATGAGGCCATAATCATTGGAAAGTGGACTTCCGGGGCTTCATTTTGCACTTAAGAATCTCCTAAAGCTGAGTTCAGATGAGGGAGATATGGTTGGTTAAAGTTGGGCATCAATCCGGTTAGGACCGAAACTGAGCAGTCTTCACTAAAAGAGGGATATCTCTTAGAACACATGTAATTTTGATGTGAGGTTTCTACCATTGGAAATCTTACTTCCGGGGCTTCAATTTAGACTCAAGAATGACCTGAAAAGGAGCCTAGATGAAGGAGTTATGCCTGGTTGAAGTCGGGGCCAGGGACTAGTTTTTGCTATCGGCCACAGTGGGAGGGTGCCCGCCACAAATGGAGCTTGCCGGCCATAGGTCAGCCAAAAGGGGTTCTTGTCAGCCAGAAAAGCAGCTGGTCGGCCACCACAAGTGGCCGGTCGGCCACCCATGTCCAGAAAGCTCAGAATTTGCAGATCTTTTGTTCCAGCTGTCTTCCAAATGCTCTAGCTGTCCTGTTTTGCAGATATTTCGAATTGAGGCTCTTGTATTGCTATATATGGAGGCTATATCTCATATTTTGGGAGGTTAGAAAATTTTGGGAGCCTCTCTCTCTAAAAATCCGCTCTCTCTAGATTCATCTCTCTCTAGAATTCTCTCTCTTGCCCTTTTGTGCATGGAAGTAGAGATACACAACTAGTTTGCCAAGACATCCTTAACCAAAATTGCTTTTCTTTGGGCTGAGATTCCTTGGGACTTTGTTTGAGCTCCAAAAGGTGGTTTTAGCTTGATTTGGTACATCATTTTTGCCTAGAGTGCTCTGTGCCTCAAAGGTATAATACTTACCTTCTTAAAGCTTGCTTTGAACACTTGTTTTGCCATCTTCTTCCACTGTTTTTGAGCTGGTTTTCAACTGAAAAAAACTCTGTTTTTTAGACCTTAAAATGGTGGTTTAAATCCATTTTGTGCTAAGGGGTTGTATCCCTCTTCTTGTTGCCTAATTGTTAAGCTTTTTGCATCATCTCTTAGCATGTAAAAGTCAAAATTTTTGGGCCTTAAAACCACTAAAATTCTGAGTTATTTTAGTGGTAAAAAGTATGTTTTGAAGTCCAAAAATGGAGGGGTGGCTTCCCCTCCTTGTCTCTCTATGCCATGCCTTGTTAGCATTACAAAGTAGCATGTTTTTGTGGCTTGTGTTGGCTTAATTCAAGCATGTTTTAGGCTCTAATTTAACATATTTTAACTCTGTTTTTGGCTGGTTGGGTCACTTGTTGCTTGCATCTTGCACTTGTAGTGTAATTTTGCTTACTAGCCTAACATGCCAAATGAGTTAGCCAATCATTCTAGCTTGTGTTAGCTTGATTCCAGCACATTTTTGTTAATGTTTTAACATGCTTTAACTCTGTTTTGGGTGGTCTTGGTCATGTGGCTCATGCTTTGTATAGTTATAGTGCAAATGCCTTCACTAGCTTTGTGTTTAAGGCCTCTAACATGTCTTGCATGAGATGTTTGCATGATATAGAATCATTTTACATGTGATTTTAGAGCATATACCCTTGTCACACTCTCACATATTTCACTCTTTCATTGCTTTTGAGAGTTGTGCGCCTTGCTTGCGAGCCAATATGCGAGCAGGTTTTTCTTGCCACTTGGGCTTCAATTCCAGCATGTTTTAGCTACTGATTTGGCATGATTAAGCTCTATTTTGAGCTGGTTTGATCACATGAGCTTTGCTTTGTATGCTTGTAGTGCAATTGTGCTAAATTGCCTAGCATGTGCTATTGTTTTGGCCTCTTAATATAGCTATTCTTAGCTTATTTCAAACATGTTTTAGAACTCTATTTAGGGTGTTTTAGGATTGTTTTGGACTGTTGGTCCCTTTTGAGCTTTTGAGCTTTGTATTGCATGCCTCTAGTGTTGTGTCCTTCACTAGTTTCAATGCATTGGTCCCTAACATGTTGTGCATGTGTTGCTTGCATGTTGTAGAATTACTTGTCATGCCATTTCGGCATTGAAACATCTGCAACCTCCCCCATTTCTTCATTTTTCAATTTGTTTTGAGGGTTGTTTGGCCTTAAGTTTGTGTTTAAGCATGAGGTAGGGTTTGTGCTTAAATAGATTTAACCCTCTTTTGAGGGTTCCTCTTAGTCAAAGGCATAATCCCTCTCATGTCCTAAACCACCCTTTTGGTTGACCCCTCCCATTAGAGGACTTTCACATTGGATTTAAACCGGTTAATGGACTAATCAGTAATCTAAAATGTGTAAACAAAATGAGAAAAGTAAAACATGTGCAAGATAAGCATGTGTGTTGCATTGCATGTGTTTGGATCAGACGTTAATCCAAACACAAAGAATGAGGGACGTTTCATACTCAAAGTGATGAAACGTGTCACATTTCTCAGTCGCCGTTGCCCTTGATCATGCATGATAGGGTGGTGGCCATTTGAGTCTTATGTGTGCATTCATTAAGCTTGTACAAGCTTGGTTTTTGGGCCATCATGCATTGAGATGCTTGATTGGTGGCTTGAGAACCAAGCGCCACACTCATTTGAGCTTGAGAAATGATGAGGAGGGTGGCAGTACATACATTACCTGCAAAATGCATTGTCTTGGCTTTGTTGTTCTCTGTTGCAGCAAAACCAGGAGTTTTGGAAAGGAGGTAGCCGACCGGCCAGTTGAAGTGGCCGACAGCCACTTTTGGTGGCCGACCGGCCACCAGTCCAGTGTTGGTGCAAAAATGTTCCTGTTTTGAAGCAAAAGCAGTCTGCAAGATTGGTTCAATGTTTAGAAAACAGAGGTGAGTGTAAACAGAGACAACCGACGGCAAGGCGATGGATTTCCGGGACGACGCCAACCGAGCATGCATGTCTCCCTTGCCCGCGAGGCCATTTAATTGCTTTAATTAGTTAAGTGTTTAATTAATTAATTCGGTGTGTAATTAATTAGCTTAGTGTAGCTAGTTATCTCAATTTGTGTTGTAATTAGTTAGCTAGAATAGTTAATTAGTTGGTTTGTAATAATTAGCGTAGCTTAGATTAGCTTAGCTTATTTATTCGGACCCTCCTTCGAGAGGGCGCAATGTTGTAATAAGTGTGCATGTCTTCTAACCTCGCGTCTTTCTCCCTTTTATTTAACTGCTTTCGATGGTTAGATTATGGCATGTTTTGATTAGCATACCCTATGCTTGCATGTTTGCATCATTCATTTGTCTTACATGCACCGGGCTCGGCGCATCATTCAAACTGCATTGTATTTTAATACTTTTTTGAATACATGTATCAAACTGTTGCATTCATATGCCATCTTAGGTAGCCGAGCCTATTTATTTGCATTATTGCATGTGTTGCATTAGGCATCTAACATAGTTAGGATCATGCATGATTTCTAACTAGCTTTTGTTTTGGCTTGGAGTACATTGTAAGTGTTTACACTTTAACATGCTTGCATGAGTGTGAGTGTTGCCATGATAGCATGCTTGCCATGAGGCTATTTGCTTAAGTGATTAACTACATGAATGCCTGTGGGTGAAGGCTTGATTGCCTAAATTGGAACAACTCGATGATTGTGAGTTTTAAGCCCACTTTGCGAAGTGGCAAAATCATGTTTTAAAGCCCACTTGAGGGTGGCAAATTCGTGCTTTAGCCTACTTGCGGGTAGTACTTTCAAACCATTTTAAAAAACAAACATGAGTTGTTTTGTTCCAATTCTCATAATTGAGTCTATACTTGTATGCTGTGCGCATCACATAGTAGGTTAGCTAATAACCGGAACAAGAACACATGTGTTTATAAAACAATATATCATGCTTAGTAGAGGCCGATCCTTTGATCGGGTGAGTGGGGGTGCTCATTTCAGGACCTTCCCCTCTCGTACCCAAGTTCCCGAGCCGAGGTAACTTTGGTGATGACGGACACGTGGCCTTTGGCACGAGTCAGGGTTTCCTAAATTTCCCAAAACAAAATATTTAGGTGGCGACTCTGTAGTCTGGCAAAGCAGTCCATGTTTGGCACTTTTTGATTCAAAATTGATTTTCCAAAACCAATTGCCAGATCTTGACTCTTTGGTGTTTATCAGTCTCACATTGCAC